GTGTTTAATATTTTCAGAACTGCCAAATGAGCAGGTTCAGTGAATAATAATCAGTTCTTTGAAAGTGCATCAGTATTTTTATTTTAATATATTGTTTAATGCATTTTTGCATTAATACTATATCATTTTAAATAGTTATTATATCATTGAACGAACAAACACACACTCACCTGCTGTGACCAGGCTCAGCTCCACCTTCACCGAGCTGGAAAACAAATTGACCAGAGCTCATCTAAAAAAATCGACTTTGCTTGTGGAATATACGTGTACTTTTTCTGTGTCGTGCTCTGGGTGACCGAGGCCTTTTGCTCACTCTCTAACTTACCATCAACCTCTGTAGAGTGTATCTGGAATCTCAGAGTGAAAGAACACACAGTTCTCATCGTGTTTGTGTCTCTCTTTTGGTTCCAAAGAGCTAATTTGAGCTTGAAACAGTCTGATGTTTCTGCTGCAGCATCATTTTACTGATATAATATATATAAAATATGTCCATTATTTATAGCAGGAGCTCACTCATGATTTGCTGTTCATATAACTTAACATGACCATAGTTTGTAGGTTATTTTAGGCCGTGTCCATTTATTCCAGCCTGTTGCTGCATGTGCATATGCAACAGTTTTACAGATCAGGTGCAGCTGAGTAATATTCACAGCATCTCAATTTCACTGATTTATTCATTTCTGCGGATGCATGCATTTGCACACTTTTAGCAGAACACTTCAGAGCTGCCTTAATTCCTGAGTTACTGAGAGATTCAAGCAATTCTAAGATTTTGAGCCAAAATAAAGAACAAATTACAATCAAATTTTTTCCAAATATCTCTTTAAAGGTTTGTGCATTTTTAGTTTTCAGTTAAATTTCTTTAACATGTTTTTTTAATTTCTTCATATTAACGGTCCATTATCCAGTATTTATTTGTTTATGTCTCAGAAAACAGACATTTTGTATATTTTGATCTCATGTGGTTATTAATCACATTAGTCATATATGGGCCTGCACCATGTTAGATGTCAGCCTGGCTTGTTCTTCAGCTATGCAACAGGCCAAGACACTAAATTCTTACACTAAACCCAACTGTGTGTGCCTCTTATCATCCATTTTGATTCTATAGTTAACTTGTGTTTATAAAGTATTAATTTATAAAGATATATAAAGCTTAAACTCTCACTTTCATATTGAATTTAATTAGACATTGTGATTTTTTTGGGATAAATAAAAAAAAAAGTGCTTTATCGGAATGAAGCCAATTACTTCAATCACATGAAAACCATCTTTTATCAACACAGGCTGCAACTATAATCACCGAAACCGATTTTAATATCTAATTTTAATATCTAATTTAAACAAATAATAACAATAATGATAAATAGGATAAAGTAACTCAAAAGATATTTGGCATACTTATAGACAACAGATTTGGTTTCAGTTTAACCTTAAAAAGTCAGTGACATATTTGATGTCATTACGAGTATTTATTCATTAACTTATTTTCTCATGTGTTGTGTGTTACAGTTACAAATCATTAAATATATTTTAATGACAGCCTCACTTCAAGGCCTCTGTCTTACTGTTCACAAGAAGATTCGCTCATCACTTCAGACAATTATAAAACGTTTTTTTATTTCTGTTTCTTTTTTTTCTCGTGGGCCTGTACATCGTTTAGGTCAACTGCAGTCGTTCTGCATACATGATAATACTGGACACACTTTGAGAGGATGTACAACAGTATAGGGATGACATCAGTAGAATACAGAAGGTAAATCAGAGGATTCTGTGTCACTTCCTTCTCCTCTTGTTTCCAAACATCATTACACATTATGGGATTGTCACTGGAAGGTCGATGAGCCTGACCGGGGCTCAGTTGTGGAAAAACGCATTGAGGTCCTCATATGGAGGAGCCCTGTCATGGTGCACGTGCACGTCGTGGAAGGGGGGAATGTTTTCAGAGTGCGCACCACCACCACCACCACCACCACTGCGCGCTCCCGAGGGCCCGAAAGGCAGACTGTGGCCTGGTCGAGACGTGGTCAGTCCGGAGTAATGCATAGAGTAGTGATAGTTCCTGTCCGAGTCAGAGTTCTCCTGCTGCCTCCCAGACAGTCCGCCGTTCAGGCACACAGGCGGGCTGTGCTGGCCCTCATAGTCCGGGCTGCTGTAGTCAGGAGACGTGCCCCCCGGTGGGTACACGCCCTCGTATCCAGAACCGTAGGAATGGCCCCGCAAGTTGAGCGCACCGCCGGATCCGGGCTGGTAGTGCGGGCTGGAGAGGCGGGAGCAGCGGTAGGAGTAGGGGTGGACGGAGAAGGGAGAGGTGGGCATGTGGAAGCGGGCTCCGTCTGAACACGGTTCAGTCAGGAAGTTCCTGGTGTTGAGCTGCAGGCAGCCTGCTACCAGGTTGGTGGTGGGTTGTGACAGGCCTTTGCACAACATCTGCACGTAGGCCACCACATCTGGACGCTTCCCGTTGCGTAAAATCTCCCCCAGAGCTAAGATGTAATTCTTGGCCAGCCTCAGAGTCTCGATCTTGGAGAGTTTTTGGGTTTTGGAGTAGCATGGCACCACCTTGCGCAGATTGTCCAATGCAGAATTCAAGTCGTGCATGCGCGTGCGCTCCCGCGCATTCGCCTTTTGTCGACGCACCTTGGAGCGCTCCGCGCGCGCCGGGGTCATCTTGCGCTTCTTTGGGCCGCGCTTCTTGGGCTTATCTCCGCCGTTCTCGTCTCCGCACTCCTCTTCCTCGGCCTCGTCCTCCTCGTCGTCGTCGTCGTCGTCGGCGCCCATCTCAGACTCAGCCCGGCTGCTGCCTTCCAGCGGCTCGTCCAGCTCGTCGTCCCCGAGGTGACAGGGCTCGTGCCCGTCGCCCTTGTCCTTACCGTCCTCGCTCTCGTTGTCGTCCGCCCAGTCAGCCGCGAGCCTCTGGACATCCGGCAGCACCTCGCTGAACAGACGGCTCAACATAGTGGCGAGAGACCTGCAAGAGACAAGCAACACTTCAGCCGGACTGTTGTGCGTCCTGCTGCTCTTTACACACACATAGGTGCGCGTAAAGCAAGAGAGTCCGGCTCAGAGATCCACGAGGCCGGATGATGTATATTTTACTCTGGAGAAAATGTCCTACATTGTTCCCTTAACAGTTCATTTGGAAATAGATGTTATGAGCTTATAACTGAAAGCCTTTTGGAATGTATGTCCCCCTTCGATCTCAGACTGAAATCTCGTTTAATATCTCTTCTGGATAAGATAACTACAATCGCACATTTAGAAAATGGAGATAAAGGTTTTCATGTTTAATCTGTCATAAATCGGGTTGATTATTGGTTTACCTGAACTAACTGGGCCTTAACTAAACGTTTCTCACCTTTTTATATATAACAATCCTTGTACCTAGTATTATAAAGACTTGACTTTCTTCTTTTTAATGCTATAATTAAATGTAATTATTTATATAGCAACAGTGTGTGGGCCACTTCTCGGCCTCCACACGTGCCTCGGTCTGTCCCCCTCCAGCAGTCCGGCACAGGGAGGGAGCGGGGCTGGCCTTCATGCTTCATGGTCCCCCAGGGACGCATTAAGGGTGCGGTCCCTCCTCCGTCCTATAAATTACACCAACCTGGAGGAATTCCAGCACAGCCACGGCTGGACCACTGGATCCCCAGCATCTGACTTTTATGTCTCAATTAACAGGTTTTTGTCCAAATCCGATTTAAAAAAGGACTTTATCCAAACGACACCCACCCTCATGAACTCCTTGAGAATATATCTATAATTAAAAATACACACAATTCAGTGGCAAACATTTAAATTACAATAACGATATTGAAATTTGGCTGAAGAAACAGAGTCTCTGCAAGTTCATGAAACCAGATTAGGACACCAAAGGGCCACAGACGTTATCCAACACTTTTCTTAGCTGAAATTCAGTTTAGCTCTTACATGTCACTGACGTCTTTATTTTCCTATATTTAAAAATGCATTTTTTGGTTAATCAAACCTCCATTGAAAGGTTCCCAGGCACAGGAGTAAACACGATATTTTAATATTATAGTTTATATGTATAAACATGAATTTCCCTCTATGTATATGGCATCACACTGAGCCCTAATTCAGACTAATAGTGGTTTATTAAAGCAGATTTTAAATGCTATGATTCCTCTATGTATTTTCCAGTATCCTGAGCTCAGCTGCGTGTGGAGTCGCATTTTTTTCTAATCTTGTAACCACAATGTAATTAATGCCAACCAATACCTTGTCAATTACCCCGCGTGTCTCCGCGGAGAATTATACCCCCACGGTGCTCTGAAGCACGTCGTGCGCACGGAACACACACACGCACACACACACACACACGCACACACACACACACACACAGTAAAAAATAATTATAACAAATAAGAATACTCTCTCTAATGCTCTTTTTAAAGACAGAACAGTGGAACTGACACATATCAAAATGACCGGAGTAGAATTTCTCCTAATTTGATCGATGTGGATGAATTGATTTGCTGGAACGAAATATCCGGGGGATCGATATCTTCGATAAGATCTGCGATGAAGAGCCTGAAGAGGAGATTTAAAAAACCTAATCTGATCACGTCTCGTGCGAGAAAACGATGAGCGAGGAGAAATGGTCCCTAATTCTATAGAGCAGGTTTAATGATCTCTGTCTGTGAATGAAACACAAAGACAGAAGCAACACATATCTGATCATGTGCAGAATCGATTGATTGGAAATGTGTCCTACCTCCGCGGTGGAGCTCAGTGACAGGGCGAAGCTCGGTTTGTTTACACCATGTCTCTCCGGGTGGGCATCACATCCACACGCCCTGCACGATGCTCAGCTCTCACACCTCTCTCTCTCTTCTCCTCCTCTGTCTGATGCTGATGATGCTGATGCTGCTGATCTCCAGCCCGAACGCGCGGAGCAGGAGCCGTGCATGTGGCACCTCAGAGGCAGGACTGGGTGGGTTACATACCAGCTCTGATGCCAGGCCCATATGGCTGGCACGTCATTGGCAAGAGCCATCACATGAGAGCCGGTGATTGACATGCGGCCGCATTCACAGAGACTGGCTTCCCCCTGGGGGAGAGGGACTCGCCATCTGTCACCGAGCTGAAAGAGAAAATGGAATAAGGAGTGAATGGCACACAAAAAATCAAACCCGCTTCTGTTAGCCTCCATCTTTAGGTAAAAAAAAATGAGGTTAATCTCATATAGAAGGTTTAGGAAAACAATACCCTCATGAGAAATATTTATAGTAATCCTAATATATCATATTTTCCCATAATTCATCATAATATATTTTACATTGACATCATTTAAAATGTAGGCTACAGCAAATGAGAATCATGCAATTGGATTGTTAAAGGATTATTTTTACTGATAAGGAAAAACAGATTCCTGAACCTATATCATCCACATAACCCCTGTGGGAAAACTAATTAAATGTCCTCCTGATAAGTAGGCTAAAGGGAACAACTACAAATCCCTGTATAGAAATATCATAAGGTGAAACAATCTAGTTAAAGAACCAACAAGAAGTAGACAGATAACCCTACAGGGGCCACACAAAGGCCCTGGATGAATAAGGGACCTGCAATAAAGATCAGAGTCAGGGTGCAATTGCCTAAACGAGTCATTTGAACTGAGCTAAGCAGAGCGTCTTGGTCTGGGCTGCCAGGCTTGGCACAGGTGCCTGTGGGCGGGCTGGTGCCAAAGGTGGCAGAGGCACAGATTGCAGAGAGGGGCCAGAAGATGGGGCAACACAAGAGAGAAAGAGAGAGAGAAGAGTGATGGAGAAAGAGGTGAAGAGGGAGAAGTATTATCATCAACACTGGTTTATTTACCACTGTCCGTTCACACTTTGTTTTTCAATTTAAATGTTTAAATCACAAGTGAATGACAATTTCCCCCCTAAAATCCTCTACTTTTTAATTTTCAAATAACACAAACATTTTGGATTAGGTTCAAAGTATTAATGATCTTTATCTCCAAAGGTCACGTATAATTTCATGTGTACATTGCATCATGTAAAGATAATAAAATAAACATTTATCATTGCATACTATAAATTCCTCTCATTCCTCATTTTTATAATATAAACACAGCAAATCGAAATTTGATTGAATAAGGAAACAAAGCTCTGTTTTCTTAAAAAACATGTTTTTTTATTTCTTTTTATGCTACAAACCATTATGCGGTTGCTTCCACTCATCAATGTGAATCTCTCGATGTAAAGACCTTCGGTTTTTTACAACCACAAATGCCAAAGTGTATGTCAAATCTGGTTTATTATTATTTTAGTCAGGTTGGCTTTTATTGGTCAAGGTCAAAGGTCAAGAGGAGTCGAGAGGTTAAAAACAATGTTGAAACTTAAACTTCATGTCATAATTATTCATACTCATTACTCAGTTTCAGTTGCATGGTTGAGTTTGAGAACTGCAGCTGCAGTTCTGTGCTCATGTTGTTTCTAAACTGACATGTGGGGGACATCTAGTGGTTTCCAGAAACAGGTGCATGGGAGAGACAATAGTTATGCATCAATTATTTTCCTCTGTATTAAACAAGCTACAGAGTGATGGACTTAGCTGTTGAGTTATTTTATAGAGACGTGTCTAAATTCTGACTTTCTGGCAATGAGAGTATGACAATGATGTGAAAATGTATTCATCTTGCAAAGAAGGACAGACTGTGAAGACTTTAAAAAACATTATGATATTGTAATTATAACAGTTCGGCCTATTTTCATCAAATGTAACAGATCTTTATTCCAGCATGTTGAATGTTTTAAGGCCTGCATGTGGTATCTTTTTCTGTTTTGTCTAAATGACCTGAAGGGTTCATATTTTCACTCAGGTTTGGAAGTGTGAGGTTATTTAAAATGCTTTGGAACATCTTCCTGGTACATTACCCCCCAGTATATTCAGATTTTATTGCCCTCTGTATAATTTATGAACTTGTGCACATGCAGTTTATTGAGATGCCAGACATTTATCATCTGTCTATATTTATCTACCAGGAGGGAATGTTGCAAGTCATCTGGCGCCCCCTTGTGGTTGTATGGACAGTGACACTGTGGCACATTATTGATACTAATACTAATGGGTATGCTACATGTATCTGTTCTGGTTATAACACTATAATCCTAAAGATTATTTCTCTGCAGCTCTGTGGATTTAAATTACATCGGAATGATTGATTGCAGCACAGGATGTTGTGTGTTTACCTCCTCTCGCTTCCATTCAAAAATATCTCCTCTGTTTTAAACATCACACCTTGACGCACAGTGACGCAAATGGTATTGACCATATGTCCATTTGTCGAGGTCAGCAGTCGGCCTGAGAGCGAGCTGAGCCACAGATGGCCTGGGTTGCTTTTCATCAGAAGACCTCTCCCTGCAGGTCTGCAATAACTCCCCGGAGCTGACAGAGATCCACAGTCCTTCTCAAGTTCACTCCAGTGCAGGGTGAAGAGGGGAGGCTCATTGGGACTGGGATCGAAACCCAGGTCACAGGAGAGTGCTGCTCCTTCTCTCTGCAGCCATTATGGAAAACAAACGAGTAACTCCTAAAATATACTAACAATTAAAATACTCCCTATCTTGCCTGTTATGTCCCTCTCCTCCCTCCATCCCTACCTCTCCACTCGCCCTCATTCCTCTCCTCCTTGAAGCAGTCTTTCATTGTGTACATATGATTTGGGGTTCCGTGCATGAGATATAATTCATCTGCAGTTGTTCACATTGTATATAAACAAAATGTCCCTTTTAGTGGGGGTCTTAAAGTACATGTTTGGCTGAGGGTATGCTAGCAGGCCTCCCCCAGCCTGTAACATATTGTTTATATACTAACATCTATTCAAAAGCAATGAGTTATCATTACATAGGTTATTATGAAATGTGCAAGAAGTTAGATTAGCATTCATTCAGTCTTTACCTTTATCTCTCTGTCACTTTTGTTTCAACATTTGCATATGTATAAATGTGCATGTGTAAGCTCTCTCAGTCTACACACCATGCACACATTACTCTGTGAGGAGAAACTGTTTCCATGGCAATGAATCTCCCAACCCACTACCTCTGATGTATGAGTACTTCTGTGTATCAGATAACCTGTGAATCCAGTGGAGACAGAAGAATTTCATGTTTGACTCTGTAGAGAAACATAGGAATAAAATAAACAGCACTGTTTAAAAGATAAATGGGATTTCAAAATGATTCGGTGATGAAAGTGGACCTCGTTCTGCACAGACAGAAAGGAAGATCGCTCTGTGATGTTCTCAACTCTCTTGAATACAATCTCCAAATCCAGTTCACTTGTTCCAGGAAGATCAGAAACAGCCAAAAGTAGCACTGATGATCCTCATTTTTTATATTTAGATAAAGTAATACAGGTGCTTTTGCTTTTATAAGACTTCAATCACGTCTTAAACCTTTTATGCTCTTAATTTGAAATGTAGCTCTTTTTTTTTAACATGTTTTTACAGAAAGGAGAAGTTCGGTTTTTTTCAACCTGGACCTTGTGTCCAGCATATGGTGTGTAGATCTACTCACCCATAAAGGTTTGGAGTAACTTGGAGTCCTTCGGACGCATTTTAGATCCTCCATCGGTGTATATCCATACAACGCAAGGGTTCGGGGCATCCACCATACAGCCTCTAAATAACGCATTATCTGCCGCCAAACTCTTTATTTACTATGAATCGCCAGCACTGGTCCCCTGTGAGTCTCGCCAGCCTCGGAGCTAGCGTTAGCTTAGCGAACCGAGAGCGTCTTCCTGTTTAATCAACAAATCGGTTCGCTAAGCTAACGCTAGCTCCGAGGCTGCTCGTTAGCCCGCTGACGTTAGCTAGCCTTTAACCTGGCGAATACGCCCGAGCCCCAGGACACCGCTGCTTTAAAAGAATCCTGTACAGTGAAGCACCTGGTCAGTGTTCTGCCATGTTGCGCGAAACTAGCAGCGGGAAACTCCGTGTAAACAAACACAGGTGATCGTCAGCTGATCTGCGGCCGCGCGCCTCGGTGACGTCACCCCAGTGAAAGCCCGGGCTGTAAACAAAGCAACTTGGACTCACAGGGGACTAGTGCTGCAGATTCACAGTAAATTAAGAGTTATTTGGAGGCTGTATTGTGAATGCCCCAGTCACTTGCGTTGTATGGATATACGCTGATCGCACTAAACCTTTATGGGTGAGGAGATCTACATACCATATGCTGGAAATAAGGACCAGGTTGAAAAAAACCGAACAGACCCTCCTGCAAGTTGTTTCTTGACACTACAATTATCTCCAAAAATACAAATAGGTTTTGAACTGGTGTGACACTGAAGGCATCTCCATCCCCACTTTTAGAAACGTCTTAATTTCAGCCCAGCTCAAGGGAAATTGCTTTCTGGGCCACTTTTGAATTTGAAGCCAGAGACATGGACGGAGTGTGTGTGTGTGAGAGAGAGAGATAAGGAGTAAGGTTATGTTTAGGTTTAGATTAAGGTCAAGTTTAGGTTTAAGTCAAGGTTAGATTTACATTAAGGCTATAGGTCAAGTTTAGGGTTGGGCAAGCAACTTTGTCTCTATAGGGAATCAGTCAAGTCAATGTAATGTCCTCTGATGTCATGGAGACACGATTGTGTGTGTGTGTGTGTCTGGATGTGTGTGAGAGAGAGAGCGAGAGAGAGAGAGAGAGAGAGAGAGGCTGACAAACGCGAGAGTCCACAGAGATCTGCTGCATGTGGCAGGAGGATGCTGCTGGTACAGCCTACAGCTGAATCATATTTACATTGTTATTAATAATATAATAATAAAACCAGTGGTGTTATAGATCAAGACACGGGCAGTTTACTCGGACCTCCTCGGACATCTGTCCTCTCGGGCTCCGGAGGCGTCAGCGCTGGACGCCGTCATGGACCCGCTGCTGTCCGCGGACACCGAGGTGATGGAGCGGGAGGCTGACAAGGACGCGAGGAGGAAGATCCAGTTCTCCGTGCCTTCCGCCGTGCCCACCCAGCTGGACCCACGGCAGGTGGAGATGGTGAGAGCGCAGGGAGTGTGGTGCGTAAAGCCCGACATGGATGAGGATGATAGTGGCTGTGGTGGTGGTGGTGGAGCGTGGGCATGTGTTTGGAAGAATGAGGTCAAACCTGGGTCCCATTTCCAAAACTGTGTGAGAATAAGGTTTTATGTTTTTAGTGTGCAGACTAAACAATTATATATAAACGTTTATGTGGGAAGGTTCATTCAGAGATTCACTGTTAAATGGCATTGTGGGTAAAAGTAATGGTTGGAATAGGATTGAAATGCCTGGGCACACATTTAATCTTGTCCTTTAAATAAACAAATGTGACTGTTGTCCTCTTGCCCCTGAAGTTGACAGACAGTTACATAACCAGTCTAGCACGACTTTTGCAGAACTCTGTATTTTGGATGTTGCGTATTACTCGCAGAGGATGTGGGCAGCTGGGATTAAGCTGAGCTGCACAGCTTCAGTTCTCTGGAGCTCTCAAAAGTGATGAGGCATCACTGTTCTGCAAAAGTGGAGTGGAAGAGGAGGAAGTGAGGGATAAAGCTCTGTTCGTAATATTAAAAATGAGATTGTGTCCCAGAGTAATTAATCTCTGAGCCAAAACATCCACATGTGGTATTATTAGAAAAAGGTGGTGAGTGCATTATGTAAAATAAATAAAGCATGGAGTCAGTTCTTTGTAGCTTATGCTGAATCATCCCAGAGTGAAAGCAGGTAAAGATGCTGACATGCAGAGACCCCATTGGTGAAATATTGCTGTGTGATCAGGAAAGATATTGGCCTGTGCAATATGGAGGCAGAGCATCTATTAAACTTAAAGCTATTAAAGTCTGGCAATGATAACGGTCCATCAAGGTCGTCAAGGTAACACTGAGATAACTTTAAGATACAGTCTCCCTCAGCAAATAAAATTTAAGTGTAGGTAGTTTCTTGCGCTTTTAGGACAATAGACGTCCATTAACAAATGATAGGACGCTCCCTAGAGGGAAATCTCGTCGGTGTCCAGACGTCTTTGTTTTTCCCCGGTAGAGGATTTGGAAGATTTAGGACTGTTATTTCAGAGTGGTATGAAAAAACAAATCAATAGTGTCTGAGGACTGAAATGTTTCTCACACATCTGTTGTTTACAGCCCATCTAAGAGTCTCTTAGGCTCTGGACTACTTTCTCTTTGTGCCTTCAAGTGCAGACACATTCCATCATTAGCTTTTCAAAGCAGCCCCACAGTACTGATTTCATGAAAATGTAAACACGCTCAGTCAGAATCACAGTTTGAGGTAAAACAACTCTGATTCTTACAGTAATTAGATACCACACTTGAATAAATGAACACGGACAGGTTTGGATAACTAGACCTGTTCTTTACTTACAGTATTCTTTTATTATTAAGACCCCTTCACTCAACACAGGACCTAAGATTACTTCAAATCTTCCATCATGGATCTAAATGAAAGTAGCAGCATTCCATGGTAATTCATGCGAAAGGTTAGGCCACTGACCCTGAATCTGGTGTTGCAATGTACAGGAAATAAAAAATTGTATAATGTTAAAGATGCAAGAATTCCAGCTGAGGGGATAAACACTCATCCAGTTTTATAATCCATATTGTCGACTTTCTGAACAAGAGTCCCTCGTGTTTCCTAGTTTCTAGCTTACAATTGTTTCCCAGCAGTGCTGTGGCTGCCTCCACAGGTGATTATCAAAATGTGGGATGAGACTCAATTGTACTTGACACGTACTTGAATGCTGCAAACCGGCGCCTTCCTGGATATTTGGACTCAGGATTATCTAGTTGCCTGTGGCAGCAGCTGATCAGGGGCATTTGTTGTTCACTTTTATCCAAACCATACAGAGGATTACATTTTCACATATTTTGATTGTCACTTATCACGACTCTTGTCATCTGCAACTGCCCTGTTTGGATTCTGAGCATTTGGTTGAGCATTTTAGAAATCAGGTGAACTTAGACTTTTTACTCAGGGCCATGGTGGGGTTTATGACCAACACTGCAGCCAGTCACCAGTGGCGACACTTTGGCATTCTATTTGGGGAGCTGTCGTGTGAGAGATGAAGTGCGAGGTAAGCCAAGCGATTGTGCACGACATTTCTGAAACAGCCATTATATTAGCATTGAAATGGCAGTAGCATGGAAAAACAGACGAGGAGACGAGGAGAGATAAGCAGAAAGAGTTGAAGGGAAAGAGTGTTGAGGGGGACAACAGTGAAAAAGGAGAAAAGAATAACTAACAGAAGTCAAGTCAGAAAGGAAAGGAGGAGGAGAAGGAGATGACTGATTAAAACTGAAGAGATTAGCTGTTGATGACTGAGGCGCCGAATCAAGGGCACAGAGCTAATGCCAAGAACAAATTCCAACTGCAGCACGGCCAAGAGCTAAACTCCAGCAGAGACTTATTCAAACAACCCAACGTTCTTCCTCCAGACATTATTCTGAACAGGATAATAATAAATGTTAGAAACTGGATGCAGAGCGTCGTCCATCTTTAAACACATTCTCTGGAGTCGACCTGGAATAGGAAGTTTCCCCTTTCGAGTGAACATGTGTAAAGTATGTGTGTGTCTGTGTGTGTGACTCGCCCACATCAACACTGCAACAATATTGTGTTTCCAGCCAAATAATCTGGTAGAATGAAATGTTCAAATCAGGCTCCAAGCTATTTTTAAGAATTCTTCACGGGGAAACAAAAGGTCAAAATGGCAGCGGTGGGTTTGATTTATCTCCTGCAGATATGCTGCAGTCAAATCAAGCTCTACACAGGATTATTCACAGAACTGATTGAAAGCGTTGAACAAAGGACTTATGCTTTCACTGAGTGGTCGTGATTATTAAGTGGACGGGTCATTTCTGCATAAAGGGGACACTTTAGGACACTGCTCGCATCCAGTGATGTAATTTTGCTTTATGAGCCTCCAGATTAATTTGAAGTTGAATGGTTACCATGAAGGTTATTCCACTTACAAATAATGAGTAGGGGGATTACTAATTCACAGTGTGAGCATTACACCGAGGCCCTGTGCTGCTTTCCTACTGCAGCATGGTTGGAGTTTCTAATTTAGCTGAATCGTTCTCAAGCAGTGAATAAAAAATCAGAGCAGAAAAATGTACAAACACATGAGACATTCACAGTTAGCGTAGAGCGTTCGGTCCAGCTGTCCTCACTCTCACTGGCGTGTTCTCCTGCGATTGGTTGCACCAAATATGATTTGACCTTTCTGGCCATGTTAGCACATTTTCGTAGAGAGATAGCAGTTTGAATGGAGCGAGCTGTCCTTCCAAAACTCATGGAAATGTGATCCAGCTACTTGTAAACATGTGCTCAAGTGCCAGGCAATAGTTTTTTGGCCATCACAATGTTCTTCATTAAAGTCTCATTCTGTCTTTGTGTGCTGTTGAGCAGATACATTTGTTGAACAAATCAGAATGGGTTGTTTCAGTACATGTTCAAAAACAAATTAAAACAAACCAATAATGGTAGCAGCTAATTCCTCAATAGTTTGCAGAATGTTCATGGAAATTTTTCGATGTGATACTGTTATATCCTCCAATTATATAAGATGAAGAGTCATTGTTCCAAATTGTTCTAAACTAACAACAAGCTCAGATAGATCTTTAAACACAGCCACACAGAGCTGCCGCTGATATTTAACAATCATTTCTAACATGCACAACAAGGTGCTGATGAAAATTCTGTGTTTCCTGCAGGTGATTCACCTTCTGGCTACAACACTTAAAAAACAGGTCACTGGGCCTGGAGAGGTGCTCAACCTGTGGTGTACTTCACATGAGTTGTGAGTGTGTGTGTGTGTGTGTGTGTGTGTCCATCTGCTCGTGTGAAATTGCACACGATTACAGCATTGTTGGATTACAGCATTTAAAATGTGGATTCCCTGTAACTCTTATTTAATTCATATTCAAATTTGACCTACGCACACACACACACACACACACACACAATGGCAGCATATGTAATTCTGTTGAGTGAATGATGAATATGTATGAGTCCAGCACACAGAGGGAGGTGAGAGTTACTCCAACGTGAGAGCTGCCCACACGTTTCCTGCCCACGCTCTCGTGCGATTGGCTCGGCAGCAGCTCACATCTCACAACAATAACTTATAAACATAACATGATATAAAAATAGAGCTGATGTGAGGAATATATCACATGTGCCCAGTAAACCTTTATTTATTGTTAGTCTGAATAATGTGTTCTATGGTTGTGTTCACTTTAATATGAATAATCTATGGTTGGTGTTGTTTAAACCATGCAATTGTATTGATATTGGCCAATATCCACATTATTGAACCTGTTTTCTGATCAGATAATTAGAAATGTCCATGTGGTGGAGTTTTTCTAATCATGATGTAATCAAGTAAAATACTCTATTACTGCATTATGCTCCCAAAGTACAGAAGTGTTGTGAACAAATGGAGTAGCCCACTTAAATTATCATTAAAGTGGAGCTAATTTAACACACTTAAGATACTGTGAGGCAGTTTAATGTCTATCATTTTATTAAATGACGTTCAGCGATGATAATAATAAGAGTGCACTTTATTTATATAGCACTTTTCTAAAATTAGGTTTGAGTACTTCACATAAAAACAGGAAGTGCATGTGGTGTAATTAAAATTTTAAACATTTTAGGGCAATAAAACAAACATCAGGTGAGATTTTTAAAAGAGGTCACATAAGTTGCTTCTCTGAGAGACAATGGGAGGTTGTTCTACAATTGTGGAGCCTCAACAGTGAATAATATGGTTTGTTTAATTAAATGCCTAATTTGAAAACGTATTGCAACATTTCCCTCTGAATAGTATTTAAATAAGTGTACGTATACCTTCCACAACATAAATACTTATAATCAAAATGCTATAAAGTGGGTTCAAAGTCAGTGGAGGTGGAATTATAAAATGCTTTAAATAACTGGATAAACTTGAATATTTCATTTGATATTCCACAGCATTGTCAAATAGTTTTATAACAGCCAACTGAAACTGATTTGAGATATTGAATTTGCATTTCATCAGTTGTGTAACCATTGATTTCTCTGACTCACTCGGCTCCCGGATGAAAATAAAGGAAGATGATGAATCTGCTGCATTTCTGATGTAAAGTTTTTGAGCCCACAGTCTGTGACCTGAGTGGAGACCTGAAGTTCTGTTCAACAGCAACAGAGAAGTGCAGCACTGGTTGTGTTTCATATCTGCAATAACAACTGGAGATGGTTTAACACAATTTATATAAAGCCTGCTTTATGTCAATTTTACTGCAGCAATAATACAAAGGTCAGTAAATGGACAGCAAAGACGTTATTCTTCATGACTTTATTGTGAAGATCATAAAAGCTAAATAACAGAAAAGCAACTTTTAAACAGTGACACAGCAACCACCCCGTTATGGAGAATTATTCCACAGTGTGACATTAGACGGTTTAATTCAAAGCAGAATCGCGTCTTGTGGTGAAATAACACAGTGGACAGCAGACTGATTGCAGTCATGTGATGGGAGATGTGATCTAAGACACGATGTAATCCTGCTGGGTCAGTCAGGTGCAGTCTGCACAAAAATCCTGTAAACATTGTCAAGTAATGTCGTGCGTCTTTGTCACGGGAAAGAAATGTCAGTAAGCACACGGGGAAGAATTGTGTTTGTAGCAGCACAGATATTTGTGCACATACAAATCTCTCTCTCTCTCTCCCTCTGCTAAGATTCGAAGGCGGAGGCCGACACCAGCTACACTCTTCAGATTGACTGATCCACCTTCACCAGAGGAAGACTGCAGCCCACACCAGGTAGTGAGTCAGAACACAATGCAAAGACATGTGTTTTGAGTGAGATGTGAGACTTTTATGTTGGTTTTCATGACAAAAACCCTAATTTTCTATCAAGCTCTTTATGTTGACACTGTGGTTGCAGCGCTCCCAGGTTTGTCCCGTGGGGGCTTAAGAGAAGAAATCTGGCAAATGTTGTAAATTTGCTGTGGGAGCAGATTTGTATCAGGTGGGATGAGAGCGAGTGGGTGCAGAACTAGTGCTGCATCTCAGGTTGATAATTCGTGACTGATCTAGTGTTCCTCTGAAAGTCTACGGTCTGTTCGAAGAGGTGCTCTATAAATAAAGTTGTAGCACAATGTAACACAGTGTACTTTACAGAATAAAAGCAATAAATCAATGAAAACAATAATTTTCTAAGAACAATAATTTGACCTCCACAGTGGGTTCTGGGGGAAAACGGAGCCTTGAAAGCCAAACTGGTTCACTCATCAACCTACCAGCCGCCGTCACTCAAAGGTAAATGCTATTTCCCATTCTTCTGTCATTTTACATAACAAATAACACAAATGAAAGAATCTGGGAGGCTTAGCTCATCAACAGCCATGTGGTCTGTATCTGTTCGGACTACAAGCGTCTCCAAAAACACAGTGGGAGGTGTGTGTCTGTGTGT